GGTGGATAGAAGGATGGAAGGATAGAAGGATGGAAGGATGGATAGATGGATGGATGGATGGATGGATGGATGGATGGATGGAAGGATGGGTGGATGGAAGGATGGAAGGATGGAAGGATGGATGGATGGATGGATGGATGGATGGATGGATGTTTGGTAGATTAAGGAACAGGTGAACAGAAGGATGGTGGGTGAATTATTTGATGGATGGGTGGGTAAATAGATGTGTGAGGCAGATGGAGACATAGATGGATGGATGAAATGGTAGAAAATTGTCCTTCATTTTTTTCTCATTGTGTTGTCCTTAGGAAAACAGATAAAGATTTTAAAAGACAGAGAGAAAGAAGGAACTTAAAGTAAAATAACCAGGCCCAGGTGACAATTTAAGGAATAATATTCTAGGTCAAGAAAGGAATTTGTAATACTGCTTAGTGGTAGAGCACTTGGGTAGCAGATTCCATTCCCAGCACTGAGGCGGGAGAGGAAAAAGTATCAGGAGAGAGTGGGAAGAAGGGAGTGATGGAAGGCAGGAAGAAGAAGGGAGAGAAGGGAGGGAAGGAAGGAAGGAAGGAAGGAAGGAAGGAAGGAAGGAAGGAAGGAAGGAAGGAAGGAAAGGAGGGAGAGAGGAAGGAAGGCACACCCTAGATAACTGCCTCTTATTCAGGAGGTGAGCTAAATCCTCATCAAGTTTCCTTCTCTTACTACCTTTATTGTTCTTTGAATATTTCCTTGTAGAGAGAGGGAAGGTGAAATTGCAGAATCAAAGATTGGTCCCGGCTTCAAAGGCATCAAGTCAAAGAATTTTCAAATAACTTACTTTTCAGTTAAAAGTATCATTTCTGTTAGACACACCCGCAGGATCCCAGCAGAGGCAGGAAGGCAGTTCCGTTCTGCGCTCCTGATTGTCCTTCTGCCTCTACCCTTTCTTAATTTAACAGGCGCAGCTCTTGCCTGCACTGGGTATTTTAGCTGACCCACTTCTTCGAGCAGCACATTCTAGCTCCGTGCTGATGTCACTAACTTGGAGGCAGGGCACACCTGCGGCCCAGCAGTACCCCTGGGAGCACGTACCAGCGGCCACTCGTCCAGGCTGCTGCAGGAAATCCAGCACCGCCATGGTCACGTTCAGCACGACCTCAGAGACCGGGGAGGACGTTGCGTTGAGTGGTAGCCAGTCTAAACGGTCCAGAGCTGCTACGGAACTGGAAGCAAAACAAAGTCAAGGCAGTGAGTTGGTTGTCAGCTGAGAAGTATCGGCTCCAGATTGACTCATGCCCCATGGACGGCGCTCCGGCTCTGCTGTGAGAGGCCCCGGGCACTGACATGTCAGCATTCCTGGTGGCTACAAAGGGACTCTGACTCCCTGGGAAATGCACTAAGCAAGGGGAAGCCCCTGTCTCCAGACACCTAAGAACGTGGCCTTTGCCGTAGAGCTTGGCTTAGGATGGCCCTCCCAGGGGTGCTATCTTAGGCTCGGCCTTGGGGGCAGCTGACGAGGCCAGCCAGGCCACACATGCTCTTACCCTGGAAGGGCAAATGACTACCAAGTTCAGATAGTCAGTCTACTGCTTGGAGGGAGTCTACTGGGGTGACACGTACGTACCCCAGCCCTCCACATGGTTTCAGCCCATCGATCTGAATATCGGGGTCAATCTGTGGTTTGCAAATTCTCTCACAGAATAAGGGGCTTTGGGGGAAGGGGAGCTCACACATGCATGGTGTTCATTATATTTATCAAAAATCGATATTTTATTTTATAAATAACTCTACCTAAATTTATAGGTCAGAAACTGCATTTAACTGAAATAGGGATATATTTACATTTCAGCAACACAAGACCGTATAGTGTGATTCAAAAAGATAATTTCCCTGTGGCTTCTCATCAAGAAAAATCTCTCATGGAGTATCTGTGTGCTGAAGAAAATTCTGAGACTACAAGATGTATCCTGAAACTGGTTCCACTTGCATATGTTTATTTCCATGAATACAGGTTTTCTTGGAATCATCCCCCCAAAGCAAAGCATAGAGATAAAATTCATGCTGAAGCTGACATGTGTTAACAACTATCACCAACACCTTTTAATTTCAAATTTTTCAGCTCTCAAATCATTCTCAATGCCAGTGTGGGAGCGCATGCCTGTAATCCCAGCACTCAGGAGGCTGAGGGAGGAGGATCATTGCAAGTTTGAGGCGCAGCCCAACACACACACACATACACACACACACTGAAAAGAATATAAACATTGACTAATAAAATAACACTTAGCAGGTGTTGACACAAATAAGTTTAAATTTTTTAGACTATGTGGATTAAAAAGTAGGAAAACCACCATGGAAAGGGTTCACCCAGAAGCTCCCCAGTCACACAGGGTTAGATCCATCACACAAGACCAGCCCAACTTCCTCAACTGTCAACAAAGAGAACTGGGCTTATCGGTCCGGGTGATATTTCAGGCAACTGTAGCATAATTAGCTAAGATTATTAGGTTTATTTCACTGCTCTAATGGTGAAAAACTTAGAAACACACAAAAGTCTAAGGCTAAGATTATTAAGTTAATTGTGGTACACAGAACTTCACCAAACTGGAAGGTTATATAGCCATGAAAAATGATCATTTGAAAACTACAGGAACCCATGAAATGTTAAGGGATAAATGTTAATTTTTTTAAATTAGAGAGAATATGCTCTGAACATCCCTGCAACAAGGCAGGAGATGTCCATTGACAGATGGGGGACAGAGGCACGGGTGTGAGGGCCCCAAGTGTCTGCAGGCGACATCACTGGAGTTTCTCTTTTATCTAACAACTATTCAGTGATGTGTATTTTCTCATTAAAAATAAGCAGAAAAATCAACTCCTATATTTAGTTATATTTTACTTTTCACTTACTTTAAAACTGCCTGGAGAAAGTGCACTATGGTTTGTGTGGCATCTCCCACACGAGCTCTGTTTGTTCCTAGCCTTGGCAGTGAGAGCAGGAAGTCCCAGACATGCGGCTGTTGGTGGAGGATTTCCCACTCTGATATCAGCTCCTCGGTTTGGTTGAGATTCATCTGGTGATGGGAGAAAAGTAACAAAAGTCATCATTTTTGATTTTATAACTGAGAGAAAGAGAAAGACAGACAAACAAAGAGACAGAGAAACAGACAGACAGACCCATTCCACCTGTCACTGTGTTGAACACACAGAATTTTAAAACCATTTCATTAGGGTTTTTCTTTTGGAATTATGAATAACTTTTTTACATAAGTTTCAAATCAAGTCAAAAGATAAAGAGTTAGAAAAATCTACAATTTAAAATGATTATAAAGGAAAGGGAGGTGGGGAAATGAAGAAAAAAGGAAGAGAGGAAGAAAAGCAGCAAAGTAGCAAGTAAAAATAAAGGGAAGGCAGGGGATGAGGGACGGAGAGAAGGAGAGGAGGGGGAGGGAGGAGGGAGGGAAGCAGGAAGTTGGGGAGACGACAGCAAGGAAGGGAGGAAGCGCAGGCTGACCTCCCTGCCAGGAGGAGCGGATATGAAAGCCAAACGCCTGGCTGGAGGGGGTCTGAGCTCTGGGGTCTGGGCTCCCGGAAGCGTCCACTTCACAGGGGAGGAATGCGATGCAGGTGGGCGTGGAGGAGAGGAGTCCACCCGGCACCCCACTGCCCCATCTCTGTGCTCTCTGCTCCGAGCAGGGTTGTGAGCCCCATGTCCACTCCCATCCACACACCCGTCCAGCCCGGCCACCCTGCCTGCCCGCGCTGCCCCACGGCCACTCCCACGGCCTCCCTTTGATCCCCCACAGCCGGGGACAGTGGCTCCTTCCCACTCCCGCACTGCCTCTGCCCTCTGCCTCAGCACCGGCTCCTCTTCCTCTTCGCTGTGCCCCTTCTCAGACAGTGCCCAAGCCCAGTCTCTCCCCGCTCTCTCCCTGACTCCCTCCCTAGATGTCCGCACAGGTCCCCTTCACATTCCTGCAAGCCAAACTGCCGGCCTCAGCTCCAGCCAGGCATCCAGGTGCATCACCCAAGTCAACCCCAGGCCGCTTCCTCCTGCCTGCCCGCTGCACCACCAAGGCCAGCGTGGTCCGCAGCCTCTGACCTCAGAAAGCAGCAGCTCCGAATCATGCATAGGTGAGCTCCATGCTCGGAGCAACGCTCCACTCCTCCCCACAGCCTGCACCACCTTCACCAGCACACATGGCTCTGCCTTCCACGGACCAAGAACCCCACCACCCGCCACCACCTCTGCCCCAGCCACCTTCCATCTGTCTGTGCTCAGCACCATGTCCAGAGAGACCCTCTGGGTGTCCACCTCGTGTCCGCCACCCCTCCCTCACAGTAACCCCAGGCCACTTTTTCCTCAAAGCGGCACCAAAACTGTACAAGCGCATCGCCAGAAATTCTCTGTAACAGAGGTCCCCCGCCGTGACAGCTGGAACTTTCTCAGATCGCGCTACCAGCGCCTCAACATCTGAACGTCACAATCAACCACAGGTCTGACGTGGGCCTCCACCTTGTCCCCTTGACATGAATAAGCACTTCCCACATACTGCATTAATTAGTGCTAAATAAGCTATCAACATCTACTGGCCCTACTTGGAGATAGTAAAATTACCCATCATTAATAATTAATATTGTTTTAACTCTCTTACATTGTAAGGGAGATACATTGTCAGAAAAATTATGGGTCAGAGAATGTTAGGTTTTTTTTTTTTTTCAAAAGGTGTCGCATCCATTTTTATTGTATAAGACATACATGATTGTATCCGTGGGCTATAATATGACAGGCAGTGGGTATCAGAATTTCCCTTAAAAATGCTAATTTGATCATTGCCAGTGGTGCTTCATTCTGTTTTTAAGTTCTCCGGTTGTCTTTAAGACTCCTCGTGTGTGATCCATAATACTTTCCTTTGGATCTGGTGCATCCGAAAGGCTGCAGTCAGGGTATGTGTCCACCGACGCCATGTCAACTGTTCGTATGGTTGTTACTACAGCACACAGGGCAGGCCGCCCCCCTCCACCTCACATCGGGCCCTTATTCTTTCACTTTTCCTCTGGTGGTTTTAGTGCATATTCTTCTTTCCTAAACTAAGTCCTTCTTTGGATCAGGCAGGGCCAGGCACACGCATGGCTGTCGCCACAATGTGCCCACAATGCCAAGGAAGAACCCTCAGGGCCAGGGCTGGACCCTGGCTGCGCCTCCACCCGGCACTGAAGTCCCAGCCAGGTACAGCTCTGTCGAAGGTGCTGACGGTTCCTCCTGCTTCTACCTCCCTGTCCGGCACTGGCCTCCCTACCTGTCCCCAACTATCACAACCACAACTCCATCCAGACCTGGGCACATGTCCCTAGGGCCAGCTGGGAGGGGAAAGCCACACCCACAGATGGCCAGTGCAGTAACCAAAGGCTGCGTGCTCAAGGGGGTCAAAGTTTATGAGTCAGCACACAAATCCCAGGCTCACAGGAGAGTGGCTAGAGCCCATCTGATTGCACCTACAGGCCTCAGCAACTACCTGAGCCCTGGCCAAGAAACTAAAACCATCTCTCAAGTCTGTAGGAAATGTGGCTCTCAAATACGCCTACAACATAATTATTACATAAAATTATCAGATCACTTGTGCTAGGTTTGGTGGTGCACATCTGTAATCCCAGAACTCGGGAGGCTGAGGCAGGAGAACCTCTCTGAGTTCAGGGCCAGCCTGGGGTGCATAGTGAGTTCAAGGCCAGCCTGAACCATATAGCTAGACCCCATCTCAAAGAAACAACAACAATAAATGAAATCATTTGAAAATATGAATTAAATATAAACACAGTGTCTTAAACATAACAGAGGTTCAAACTTTTATTAAGATACTTACTGTTAAAAAACTGGCACCGTAAGAAGAATCTACAATGAAGCAGATTTAAGAGATTAGTTTGATCACAGGCCAAAAAGCAAGTGCTAAGGGACATAGTTCTCAGGTCCAGTGAAGCCCCAAAGCCCCAAGGACAAAGACAGTCACTGAGAGGATGAAAGCCACAGTGCATCCCCGCCGTCCCTTTCTAGACCCCCGGGGACACTACGCAATGTCCTGGAAGGAGATGTAACTGGTAACCCACATCCCCGTGGTTTGCTGCCAGGTTTTCTGGTTCCGATCAGTCCCTGCCTCCTCTAAGAGTGGCGGGCAGCCGAGCAAGGCAGAGGGGCAAAGGGCGAACAAAGAGAAACGAAGAGGAAAGTTGAAGATGGGTCAAAAGTGAAATTATGACTTTTTCAGATTGTTTTCTGGATTACAGCCAGTGAGAACAGACTTGAGTAACAGCGAGTGAAGAACGTGGTGGTAACTGCATCCCAAAAAGTTAGTTCTTCTCTCACAAGCACGTTCTGTTTTTACTTTTTATTCTCTTTAATGGTCTGATCAATCTTGCGTTCTTACATCTGGTCATCCGAGCAACTTCACTGCAGATGACAATGCGTAATATAACAGCCACTGTTAATCCCTATCATTGTGTTCTGAAACCCTGTGTCATTTTTTTTGGCTTTGTTTTGCTTTTGTCTCTGTTGTTGGTGTTTTGCTGTTGTTGTTTTTTTTATTATTATTCTCTTTAAAATAAAAAAGGAAAGAAAAGAAAAAATAAATAAAAATTCAAAAAAAATTTTGAAAAACAAATTTTATAAAATGAACTGATGCCATAATCTAGCTTAATATAAGAACTCCATCACCTGATATTAAAAACTGTTCTCCTGTGTGTGAGTGTACATGTCTAGGTGTGTATGTGTGTATATTGTGTGTGTATATATGCATGTGTGTATGTGTGTATATGTGTGTATGTGTGTATATGTGTATATGTGTATGTGTGTATATGTGTATGTGTGTATATTGTGTGTGTATATGTGTATGTGTGTATGTGTGTATATTGTGTGTGTGTATGTGTGTATGTGTGTGTGTGTGTGTGTGTGTGCACATGCATACCACGGTACTGGGGAGACTGAACCCAGGGCCTTTGCACTGAGCTCCATCCCCAGCCCTTTCATGTTCTTATTTTGAGGCAGGGTCCTGTGAATTCACTAAGTTGCTGGGCTGGGCTCAGACGTGCGCTCTTCCTGCCTCCACGGGCGTGCGCCGCAGTGCGCCGCCGTGCCTCCTCACTCTCATCTTTTGTTCGTACACCTTGGGTCCACCTTGGGATCTGCCATCAGGAGCCACAGCAAGCCGTGCACTGGCCCACCCTGCCCGGAGGGGACAGCTCTGCTCTCAGAAGGACCACCCCCCTGAGGGCCGCCCTCTTCGTTCCTCTGCCAGTCTCTTCACTTGATTTACCTGTGTACACGAAGGGGGGAGATAGATAGATAGATAGATAGATAGATAGATAGATAGATAGATCTGGATCTATATATGCCTCTGTATAGAGAGATAATATATGTGTAGATATATGTCTTTATCTATCTATCTATATATATATAGAGAGAGATCTTTATATATTATCTTTATATACATCTTTCAAAAATTTGAGTTGTTTATTAAGGGTCACCAGGTTTACCAAATAAAAACAATGGATGCCCAGTTAAATTGGAATTTCAGATTTTTAAAAAATAAAAGTCTCTTTACAATACATGTGCACTATTTGGAAACACACATCTTTAAAAATTACTTGTAATTTAAAATTCACGTTTAGCTGAGTCGTATATGGCCGCCATGGACAGGGTCCCCGCGGCCTCCGTTTCTCAGCGGGCACCGCCAGGGCCCAGCACAGGTGAGCTCGGCGCTGGCCCTGTCCAAGGTGCTGAGCCATCTGTGAGCGCCTCATGCCGAGATCGGCGCCCGCCTAACTTCTCACGGATTTAGAAGTCAGAGTGTGAGCCTCTCACAGGAGGGTATGTTTCACAATGAATAGAAATCGGTCCGATCCTAATAATTCCAACAGCTTACGAGCACAGAGAGTTCACCATCCAGGACCAGCACTGGTACTGGTGACACAGAAAGCCCGGCCCAAGCCCACAGGAGGGGGAGGGCCCCGGAGCGTGGGCACATGCACAGATCTCAACAGTGCGGACAGAAGTGCAAGGAGAAGTGGGCGACAGAAGAGAGAGGGGACGGGAGTCTGGAAAGTCCGCACAGAGCAGAGCTGGGAAGGAAACCGCCCCTCAGCAACCCCCAAACCACTACCAGGTTTCGGGATGGAGCTCAGGGGTGCTCTGCCACTGAGCACATCCCCAGCCCTGTCTGTATTTTTTTAGATGGTTTGCCAGGTCATCCAGACAGAACTCAAACTTGGATCCTCCTGCCTCAGCCTCCCTAACTGCACAAGGCACCCTCCCGCACAGGGGAAGGAGGGCCCCATCCCCACTGGCCACAGGGCTGGCCTCATCCACCCAGGGGAGCTCCAGGACTTGGGCACTTCACCTGCATTCCGAGTCCTCTGGCTCCCCAGGGTGGAAAGCTAGGGGTGGCCCCAGGCACGAGCGGGTCACTTGCCTGGTGTCTGGACTCTTTCTCCCCAGAGTTTCTGCAAGTGCTTCGCCTTGCTCGCTGTCTCATAAATGTCCTCGGCCAGGTCCTGCATCTCTTCTAAAAAGCCCAGGCTGTTGACCGTCCTGTCATCAGCAGCAGTTTGGAACCTAAAAAAACAACAACAAAAAAAAAAAAAAAAAAAAACAAGCAAATGGGATCGATGCCGCTCTGGGTCAGTTTCCCCACAGCCTTCGGGTTCTCAGGACCCGAAAGCAAACTGTCTTCTGCTAAATGGCCAGAACCCGGCCCTCCTCCAAAATGAGAACTATCCCTGGAAAGGAAAAGATACAGGTTTAAAATTAAGAAACCGCTCTCACTGCACACATCACCACAGAGCATCGCTTTGGGTACATTTATCAGCCTTTGTTTTGGCAGTCCTCCCCCACACACATCCGGCGTGCGCTGTCCGCGGTGCTGAGCAGGGAAGGGGCAGCAGCTTCTTCTGCCAGAGGAGGGACAGGGTTGGGGTGAGGGCCAAGTGTGAGGTCAGGAGCCCTGGGAAGCTCCCAGCACACCTGTGAGGGTGCTGCTGAGGCCCGAAGAGCAAAACGTCCAGCTGCACAGTCAGGGCACCGCGGGGACCTCGGGGGGCACTGAACAGGCATCCAGGCGCTTCTTGCCACTCACTGAAACCACGATTTGTGGTTCTTTCTGGAACCATCTGGGACTTAGAAGTCTCTGTGCTAAGAACTATGACTGTTCGCTTGGGCCAAGAGATGCCCAGCCGGTGAGGAACGCAGAGCGCAGCCTGACCCTCATTTTTCATCTGTGTCTGTAAATCCTGCGTGCGACCTCACCTCCAACCCACACAGGGCTGTGTAGACTGTTAGGCAGTGTCTGTACAGGAGCTGCCACATGGGGTTGACCATCCCTGAACGTGCAGACTGTCGCCTGCTGTGAGACTGAGGACAGTGAGAGAAGGGCTTCACAGGGACATCCAGCTGCCCCAGAGACCGCCAGCCACTGTCCCACACCTGTGGCCACCTGGATTCCAGGAAGGGTGGAGCTCTGCTGACTGGGACCCCGACAGAGAGAGATAACTCTTTCCTGGAAACAAGACCATTAGCCAGGGTTCCAGAGCCACCAGATCAGGACTGAGGCCATGACCAGCCACAAGCCAATCCTGAACGCTGGCCTCCCACCTCTGCAGGCAGGCCTGTTTGCACCCCAGTATCAAATGTGCCTCCTCAGCTTCCTAAACTGGGCTTTATCCAACCTTCCCTTTAACATCCCCTTAAAAGCTTTTTTTCTGTAAATTTGTGTATTAGCTTCAATTCCATTTGTACTAACCCAAGCATCCACGCTAGTCAGGGAATGGCTGGGGAGGTTGTTCCAGGAACGGAGCCCACATGCAAAGGCCCAGTGGCAGACAGAGGCTGACCCAGCAGGGGTGCAGGGAGTGGACAAAGGAAAGGTGAGCAGAAGGTCAGCAGGTTCCCCACACCTAGTACCAGAAAGGACTCTGCCAAGCACCAAGACAGCAGGGAGCTTGGGTAGCTTTCACCAGGAATGACTTGCGCATTCAAATGTGAGCAAGCTCTCTGTCAACATTCTGTAACTTAACACTGAAAACCATCCCCTCACATCTGGAAAAGAAACATCAAACAATCACAGGAGTGAGCGCAGAAAAGTTATCTCACGACATGGAACAGACATTGTTGATTTTTTTTTAAAAAATCACCGCAATGAGGAAAGAGGAAAATCTTCCACACTGGAGACAACGGCAACAAGAGCAAGCTGGGCAGAAGAAAGATCACTCTCTAAGGAGAAGAAAACAGCGGGGACATCCCAACAACCACGCTCCCACAGTTGTGCCTAATACTACACCTAATACTACACAACCACTAAGGTATCCCTAATGCTAACCAAACATTAAGCCTAACCCTAACCCTAACTCTAACCCTAACCCTAACCCGAACCCTAACCCTAACCCTAACCCTGACCCTAATCCTGACCCTAACCCTGACCCTAACTCTAACCCTGACCCTAACCCTGACCCTAACCCTAACCCTAGCCCTAACCCTGACCCTAACCCTGACCCTAAGTCCTGGCAAGTGCAGGGAGACATGAAGAGGACAGGACAGATGAAGGGAGAAGGAGGAGAGGGACAATCGTCTTCATTCTCAGGGAACATGATCACCGCAGAGTACACTTAAGAGAATCGACTCCACCAAAACTATCTGCTGGAACTAATAAGAGATTAGAATGTGGCTGAGGAATGAGATGTTAAAATAAAAAGTCAAGTATTTCCCTACAGAACAGCAATGAACAAATGGAATTTGAAATCTGAACAGCCCTGTGGCTGCAGGTTAAAAAAAAAAAAAAGTATTCAAGAGGATGAGGGCAAGAAAAGGGTTATTGGTGAAAAGGGGCTTTTTTTAAGGCAGATATGGTGGCTCATGCCTGCAATCCCAGCACTCTGGGAGGCTGAGGCAGGAAACCAGCCTAGGCAACACAGCAACTTGGTCAGACCCCATGTCAGAATAAAAAACAAAAGGGCTGGGTCTATGGCTCAGTGGAAAACTCTGGGTTCATTTCCCAGCCCTGCAAAGAAAGGGGGGCTTTTCATGTAAATCCAGAATTCAGAAGGGCAGAGGCATCAGGACTGTCAACATACAAGTGTTTATCTTTTTTCTACTGATTTGCTTACTGTCTTCTCTGTGTTTATGTACAGTTTGTTTATGTTTGAAAAATAGCATCTTTTATCACTTTATAGAAAGTTTCTCTCCAGTTGACCTGCCTTTAATTTTACTGTCATTTTGCGAAGTTACTCCTAACAGATGAGAGTGTTAAAGCATTTAAAATGCGTATAACTGAGAGTAACGGTGAGCAGAGGAAAATGCTGGAAATGATATAATCTCCTATTCTAGGGGAATCTTAGATAAACAAAAGCTTATGTTTTTGCAAGGATTTTCTTTCATCTTTAAATATAGGGTTCCTAGAAATGTGTTCCTGTAGGAGTGGTTTGTGTGAGGGAGAGACCACCTGGGAAATTTGTTAAAAATCTTCACTCTGGGGGCTTCTTCCCACCCATTCCCACTGGAGCAAGGTTGAGGAGGAAGGGCAGAAAGTGGTCCAAAAACCTGAATTCTAACCCACACCACTTGCAGTTCCAACACAGACATTCCACAGACTGGCCTAAGGTGCTGGGGAAATGGGCACTAACTAGAAAACATAATATTGGTCTGGGAATTTAGCTCATCGGCACAGCACCTGCCTGGCAAGCGCGAGGTTGTGAGTTCAATTCCTGGTACTGGAAAAAAACCAAAAGGGAAAAAAAAGAAAACATAATATTTCTGCATCTTTCTTAGGGCTATAAATGTGCAAGGAAATTTACCAATAAATAGAGAAAATATTCTCATGACCTTAGAAATCACCACTGTGTGCCTGTTTACATCTAATCTCAAACTTATTTTTAATCAGTAGAAGTACTGATTTGAAATAAAGTAGGGAATCAGGTCGTAAGTTGCTGGAGAGCTTGTTAAATTGTCCAAGTGTCTAATAACATTCAGCATATTCAAAAAGACAAAATTACAAAATTGAGAGGAAATTTTTCTGCTTGCAAATTACAGAGCCTTTTACACTTTAATCTTGTCTTTATTTTACGAATTAGAGAACTGTGACAATGAAGTAACAGTTGTCAACAGGTAAATCTACATTGAAAGACAACCAAAGCTTGCATGACAAAGAGTTATAATAAAATCCCTCCCACAGTCATCGAGCTCTCACAAGTAAGAGCGAAGTTAGAGCATGTTATGGTTTGTGTCTGTGTGTCCCCCCAAAGCCTCATGTGGCCATGGGGCAGGCTTTTAGAGTTTGATTGATTATGGGTATGAGAGCTCCACCCGCCCTGGGGTGGATAGTTTGCATATGTAAGGGAGAGGAAGAGGGTGTTTCTGGCCATTTCCTCCCTTGTGTGTGTGCTTGTTGCTTTGCTGGGTTCTGCTCCAGGAGCTGTAGCCCTCTGCCATGTGCCACTCTGCCTTGTAATCTGCCAAGTACGGACTGAAACCTCCATAAACTGTAAGCGAAATAAACCTTTCCTTCCTTAATTTTGGGCGTCAGGTATTTTGTCCCAGCAATGAGAGAAAAGTAACCAAGACAGAGTAATTCCAACATTTATTGATGAATAAAATAAGCTCAGTGGCTTTTAGATCACAGCATTTTGGAGACAAGAAAACAAGAGAGTTTGCTAAATCAGCTATGACTTCTCTGCTGGGGCCTCGCATAAATCAAGAGCAAAATAAAAGATAGAGAACAAGAAATAGAGAAAGAACTTTTGCAAAGGGGAAGAGAGCTAAGAGTCAAGGGAAGGAGGAGAGAGGAGGAGAGGCGTGCTGTGAACATGTTCCAACCCCCATACTGAACGTAGTCAATACATACTTCAAATATGGGCTCACAAAACACTAAAACTAAAAGCAGCCTCTGAATACTGTGACTCTGAACCATGATCTGAACTCTTCTACCCACCCTGAAATTGAGACTTCCCTGGGAAATGGCAGAATTATCAGATTATAGAGACGGATGTAATTTAAGATGAGATTCTCCAGTAACAATGACCTCGTTTTTTTATGTTCTTTTTCTATTATTGCAAAAGTTCCTCAAATTGTCCTTAAGAATGGATTATGAATTACCACTAACATGAGAAATGTTTACAGAAGAAAGAAAAGCGTAGAAAATCCTTGATTAAAGGGTGGGGGGTTCCTGCACACAAGGGAAAACCCAGCCCTACAAGGGAAACAGGCAGAGCAGCTTCTCATTCCTGAGTCTCGTTCCGTGTTTGGTCTTCTATCCTGTAGTGCTTGGCCTTGCCACGGAGGGAAGATTTGCAAAGGGAAGATCTACTAAAGGAGCCTTTGAATGCAGGACAAGAACAGGCCTCTTGGCAGAGGTGACTGAATGTCTTCCTCAGCATCAAACCAGCACCAGGGACCAGCTCTCCAACACCGGGGACCACGATGTCTCACCTAGGTCACTCACACAGTCCCTGAGAGATCTGAAGATGCAGAACAGGGAGGAGCCTCAGACATCATTACATAGGCTCAATTTGCAGATGGAACTGAGACCCAGCTAGAGTTTCCCTGAGGTCAAAGTGCTTTGCAAGCAG